CGGCACCCCCAGCCTCCTCCCGCATCCCTCTCCCACCCACTTACCTGGTTCCTCAGGGGAGCTCTCTTCCTGCACAGAGTAAGAAAACAGGATGGCAGCTGTCAAAAAACCGCTGAAGGCCTTAAAGGGGCCATGCTTTCTTTTTTTTTCCTCCTCTCTCAACAACTTTGGTTTCCCCCCACCCTCATTTTTTTTCCCCCCTCAACAGAGAATTTTTTTTTTGGCATGGGCGGGGAAAGGGGGGGGGGGGGTTCGGTATTTTTGGTTAAACCATCTGGCAACCCTAGCAGTGACTTGTCCCTGTGTGCTGTTCCCACCCACATGCATCACCCTCAACTTCCATGCCCCAAGCACACCACAGTAGCAAGTGAAAGGGATGGTCTCTCCCGCTTGTTGGCATGCACACACATCCAGCACCATCCTCGACGGTAATCAACATGTCACATGCACCTAATCCATTCCCTCCACATGGATTTGCATCTCTGAGGCAATTCCAGCTACACTGCCTAACTTTCCAGGGAAAAAGTACATATTCCCCACAAATTTTTTACATTTTTCTGTGCGGGGATGGAGGAAGAAATATGCCAACCATAGGAATGCTGTCCCCCCACAGCAGCGCACAGTTCTATCATGAGTACCATTTGTGGTCCCCTCATAGTCCTGTGGCAACAAATGCCAAGATGGGAAATTAATAGTAGGAGAGTTTTTATTTATAATTATCTTACTTAATTTTAGCAGCCAATAATGATGAATGGCAGCACAGTGTGACAAGACAGCATTGCATGGATCCCTAATGGTCCTTGGGCCACAATTTGGAAATGCCTTTCTTCTACCAAATAAGCTAAAGGTCATGTTGCTGTAAATACAACATGCTGAGGAAAGTGTTTCACTCTCATCGTTTACTATGCGCAGAGGATAATTATTGATTCCCTTGCTGCAATATAAGCCAACATAGTAATGCAAGTTACATTTCTAAAAGGAACTGCACTCAGCTTAATAATTTTTAATAGGTCAGTGATGTTAGACAGAGCTGAAAACCTTCTTCATGACCACTATGGAGGGAGAGATTATTGGAATGTGAGTATTTTCTATTTAGCTTCTCCAGATTTTCTGTTTGGTATTAATAAAAGCTTAGTACTGACTTTGTTGCTCATGATTTTGCTGTGAATTCTAAGAACAACTCTGATTATGTATATTGCCACCTGATGGAACAGGGTGTGCAGCTCAAACGTAGAGGCTACGTCTAGATTTATGAAAAAGGGATGCAAAGGAATGCAAATTAGACGTATCGCAATTGCTAATGAAGCGGGGATTTAAATCTCCCCCGCTTCATTAGCATAAACATGGCTGCTGCTTTTTTTCGGCACGGAGCTTCGCGGATCTTTCGGAAAATAAAGCCTTTTCCGAAAGATCTCTTATCCCTTACTTTAAGAAGGATAAGGGATCTTTCGGAAAAGGCTTTATTTTCCGAAAGATCCGCGAAGCTCCGTGCCGAAAAAAAGCAGCAGCCATGTTTATGCTAATGAAGCGGGGGAGATTTAAATCCCCGCTTCATTAGCAATTGCGATACGTCTAATTTTGTTTACATGCAGCTGCAGCATAATCTAGTATGGGTTTTGTTTTAGTTATGGCCTCAATCCTGTAAAGAGCTCTGTGTGGGTGGACCTCTGCTCCACTGTGGAGAGCAGTTCGAGTCAGAAATACTCGAAGCACAGAGCGTATAGGTACAGGCCTGAAACTATAAACATTTCAGGTGGGATTTTCCAAAATGCTTAACAATGGCTTAATTCCTGACTTCACGACGAGTAGAATTAGGTCAAGTCTGAGGCCAGGTCTATATTAAACTTGGAAGGTTGTCTTAAGGTACACTACTCCAACTATGGAAATAATGTAGCTGGAGTTGACATACCTTAAGCTGAAATTGGCTGCATGTTCGCAGTGCGAGGTCGTCGTATGTAAACGACACTAAAGTATAGACATGGCCTGAATGTTTGAGACATTCCAAACCATAGCCTTTTATAGGAGACACTAAGGTTGTGTGTTTAATGTTTTCATCGCTGAATCAATGGTTCAACAATTAAAAAACAATACTGTGGGGGTGATGCGATGACGGACTGAATGTTCTCTATTTCACTGTTTCTTCTGAAGTCAAATTAGATTCTTGTAGACAATTCAGAGCGTGAGCTAGTATGGATACATGAGTTTCTTAGAGCCTCAAGACAAGTTAAACAATCTTGCCAGGCTTGCTTTTCAGATGATTAGAAAGTTGCTTTCTAATTTCCAAGAATAGGCAAGCTTGCTCAAGAGAGTAGTTATAATCCTAGGCCTTGATCCTGCAAATACAGGCAGTCCCCGGGTTACATACAAGATAAGAACAAACCTACAGTCCCTAAGTTGAATCTGTATGTAAGTCAGAACTGGCATCCAGATTCAGCTGCTGCTGAAACTGATCAGCGGCTGATTCCAGGAAGCCCCAGGCAGGGGCTTCCTGTAGTCAGCCACTGGTCAGTTTCAGCAGCGGCTGACTTGGGGACGCCTGGGGCAGAGCAGCTGGGGTGCTGTTGGGGTGGTCCAGCAGCGCCGCCGCTCCTCGGTGCTACTGGACCAACCCGGAAGCACCCCAGCTGCTCTGCCCCCGGTGTCCTGATTCAGCCACTGCTGAAACTGATCAGCAGCGGCTGAATCAGGACTCCTGGGGCAGAGCAACTGGGGTGCTGCCGGGTTGGTCCAGTAGCACCAAGGAGCAGTGCTGCGGGACCAACCGGCAGCGCCCCACCTGCTCTACCACAGGCCCGGGGCTTTGCTCCACATCTCCCTGGTCTGCTGGGGGGGAGGGGCACTAGCTGTGCCCCCCCCTCCCCCTTCCAGCAGACCAGGGACACGGGGAGCAAAGCTGCAGCAGCGGCGGAGTCCCGCGCCTCCCCGGCTTTGCCAGAGCAAAGCCTC